CAGAGAGACTGAGTGAGGGCAGCAGGCAGGAGGAAGGGCCCCGGCATGCAGCTCCCCTCCCAGGCGAGGGGGTTCTGCTCCCAGCATGGCCTTGGGGAGGGGGCTCTTTCTGGAGGGGGTATTCCTTGACCAGCAGTCTCCAGCTGCACCCTCCACCCCCCAGCTCCCTCCTGCCCCTGGGACTCACGGGGTGCAATGTGCCCTGCCTGGAGGGGAACACGGGGCTGCCACCTCACCTCTGCTGCTTCGTCCCCACAGTCCTTCAAGGCACAAAGGAAGAAGCCAACCATCTGGTCTCCCCCCCGGCAACTCGGATGTCTCACATCCTCAGACAAGGAAGGCCGAAGTGGAGGTTTCAGCTGTAACGGCTGAGCTCACAGCTGCTGAGGACATGGACGAGGTGGCACTCGGTCCCCAGCGAGGACTCTGCTCGGGCACAGATGAAGCAGCAGCCCCAGCCCTAGGATGCTCTGCAGGCTGGTGTATGTCTGTTGCAAATCACAACACGGACATAGCTTGTGGTGCGAGTCAGAGCGAGTTTCTTTTGCAAGTGGTGCTTTATACATCTTCACCCGGACGTTAGTTCCTGGGAACTTTCGATCCCGATCAGGCAGCTATTTGCACGAGGTTCTCTACTCTGCTTCTGTCCGTCCATAGCCATAGCACACGCCAGGTCAGCCAGTGAGGTTGCTGATCACGCGCTGTCCCTGCGCTGGCTGGCAGTACACAACCGCTGTTTTTTAACTCCTGATCATGTACTCGGCTCCTTCAGCACATCCTCGTTACTTCAGCATTTTTCTCGTCTGTTTATTACAGCAATCTGCTTTTGTCCCGTTCCTCTACATCTCCCCCGTTCTTATTTGATGAATTTAAAGCAAGCGCTGCATTGACATGCGTAAGCATCACTATTGGTGTTGTGGTCAAGTAACAGACCCACCACAGTGCAACACTGAAAACAAGCATAAGAACACAATTGCTAATAAAAAGACCTATAGATGTGAAGTGCATACCATAACCTGCTGGGTGTAAAGAAGCATCAAATTAGCCGGAGAATGGTACATATTGATGGCAAATCTGTTACCCAGCATACGGGTGTAGACTGATTTACCTGCCTCCAGTTTTCTTTCTGTGTGGAGGGTGCGACCCAGGCACCGCCTGACCACAACGTATCATGACTGCCAGTTGGAGGGGATGCATCCCACCATGTCAGGCCTTGAAATAATGGCGGATCAATGGTATAAGCTCAGTAAATTTGCGCTTGGGTTATAGGTATACTCATCACACATACAAACATCCATAACATTCAGTATTGGCTATCCATATTAATCACCTAGGCTAAGATCAATGTATCTAAAAGCACAACTCATTAATATATCTAGGCTAAAATCAATGTACATAAAAGCATAAATCTGCAAACATCACCACATCTAATCCCTGCTGCATCAAATGCTTCTGCAGCCCCGAGAAATCAGAGTCCAAGTACAACAGTCCAAAGTCGAGAACCGGAAATCATCAATACCTGCAGAGCTCACCAAGCCAGAAGACACAAAAGCAGTTACTTAGTCCAGATAAATCTGTTCGATCACAGGAACCAAAGAAATCCATCAGATTACAGAAATACAGACACTACGACAACAGACACATCCCTCTCCCTGGCGACCCCGCCCCAACACCGCAAAGCCTTCGCCACAGTTCCCCGGAAGAGTGCTTTTACCTTATTCATGGTCCCTGCTCAGAACCTTTCGGCCCAGGGATCGGAGGGTCTCCTCGAGAATCACTCGGTGTTGGCCGGAGGTCCTGCGATCCCTCAGACCGTTGATGTTCAAGAGCAGGGTCCTACCTGGGTACCCAGAATCTGTTACCGGAAAGCGGCAAAATAATTCCCTCTCCAAAACCTCACCTTGCAGCTCTAGGAAGCAGGCACTCTGTACCGCAGCAGCACTCTCTGTCGCCGGACGCACAGGGGGACAGCCCCACCCAAATGTGCCTATTGAAAAGACACAATCACTGGATATCCATGCGATGTTAACATACATACTCATTACACCTCCGAGAAAAGCCTGTCTACCCCTGCCACCACCAGCAACAACGCCACCGTCCCTCAGGAGGGCCAACTTTGGCCTCTTCAAGGAGCTACTGGGAGGAATCCCGTGGGCCAGGGCTCTCGAAGGCAGGGGGGTCCAAGAGTGCTGGTCGCTCTTTAAACGTCACTTCCTGCTCTGGAGCGGTGGATCCCCCTGAGAAAGAAATTGAGCAAAGGAGGCAGGAGACCTGCATGGTTAAACAAGGAGCTTCTAGCGGAGATCAGGTGGAAGAGAAAGGTCCATGGAATGTGGAAAGAGGGGCAGGCCACTTGGGAAGAGTACAGGAACGTGGTCAGAGCATGCAGGGATGCGACGAGGAAGGCCAAAGCCCACCTGGAATTGAAGCTGGCAAGGGATGTCAAAAACAAGAAGGTCTTCTTCAATTACATCAGCAGCAAAAGGAAGGCTAGGGACAATGTGGGGCCGCTGCTGAATGAGGCGGGTGTCCTGGTGACGGAGGATGCAGAGAAGGCAGAGTTACTGAATGCCTTCTCTGCTTCAGTCTTCAGTGCTAAGACTGGCCCTTGGGAATCCCAGGTGCTGGTGGTAAGAGAAGAAGCCCACGGAGAGGATGACTTTCCCTTGGTCAAGGAGGACTGCATGAGGGATCGATTAAGCAATCTGGATGCCCACAAATCCTTGGGCCCTGATGGAATGCACCCACGAGTGCTGAGAGAGCTGGCGGATGTCATTGCTGAGCCACTCTCCATCATCTTTGAGAGGTCCTGGAGGACAGGAGAGGTGCCCGAGGACTGGAGAAAGGCCAATGTCACTCCAATCTTCAAAAAGGGCAAGAAGGAGGACCCAGGGAACTACAGGCCGGTCAGCCTCACCTCCATCCCGGGAAAGGTGATGGAGCACCTTATCCTGGAGGCCATCATGAAGCAAGTGGAAGAAAAGAAGGTTATCAGGAATAGTCAGCATGGATTCACCAAGGGGAAATCATGCCTGACCAATCTGATAGCTTTCTACAATGACATGACTGGCTGGGTAGACGAAGGGAGAGCTGTGGATGTTATCTACCTTGACTTCAGCAAGGCTTTCGACACAGTCTCCCATGATATCCTCCTGGGGAAGCTGAGGAAGTGTGGGCTGGATGAGTGGTCGGTGAAGTGGATAGAGAACTGGCTGAATGGCAGAACTCAGAGGGTTGTCATCAGCGGCGCTGAGTCTAGTTGGAGGCTGGTGACAAGTGGTGTCCCTCAG